AAAATATTTCAACATTTTACTGTTTTTGCTGTACTTTGGATCAAATAAATGCAGCCTTGATGAGCAGAAGAGAATTCTTAAAAAAAAATCTGAAGACAAAATCTTACTGTTCAAAAACGTTTGACTGGTAGTGTAGGCTGATGATTCTTGAAACAAATGTGCTTTAGCCAGTATAAGGAGTATGAAAAGTGCTCTGAGTTGCTGTAGAAAGCCAAAATAAACAAACAAAAAAACAGCAACAACAAAAACGTTGCTGGAGACAGGCTTATTGAAAATGCAAACTAATTGTCTGCCAGCAGGAGGCGCTTTGAGAGCGGTATTACTAGCGGTTTCTCCAGTAATGGCTGTAATCAAATCAGCTCTGCTCATGAACACTTCTTTATCAGATCAAATTAAAATGCCATCGGAACTTTTCTGTAGACAAAAATGTGTTAAAAAAATCATATCACCGTTATTGAAAAAAATTATATCGCGATACATATTGATACTGAATTATTGTCCAGCCCTACCTGAAGGACTTGATTAGCTGGATCAGGTGCGTTTAAGACACCTGAGTTTGACACCCCTGGTTTAGACTCAACTGGGGCAAGTTCAAGCTCAAACCGGTGTGCAACGTTTTGCTATGGTTTCCGGTTTGAACGACATGTTTCCTGGAAACGGTGTGCAACAGGGTTTGAGATAGGTTTTGTCTTGTTTGGTGGGTGTGTCAAAAATGTCAGCCCAATCAGCAGCAACATGTACATAAACCACGTGGTATTAAAGAGACAGCTTGCACAATTTAATTAACATCAAAATAAATTCACAAGAGCAAGTATATTGTTTGCACATGTTTATTTACATTAAAGGCAAAATAACTTAAATAATAAGAGCACAAGTATAGATCTGGAACTTCTTTAAGTCTGTCTAAATATCGTTTAGTAATTGCAATGTCATCTGGTCCATATCCTTTCCATAGGAAGGTGTGCTAGACACTGATCAATGTAACATAAAAATACTATACATATTTATATATTTTGCGATTGTATTATGGAGTGACACTTTCAAAAACTTTTCTATATTCCTCTGATTATATAATGGTAAATATTACAATAGCATAGCACAACAACAGTGATCAGCAATAATGATAAGCCTAATACTCACAATAAAAATAATAAGGTCATATAGATCATAACACGGTCTCAGAGGTAAGAAGTGGATTATCCTTCACCTGAAATGTTTGTCTTTTCATCCTGAAAACCGAGGCAAATGTTGGATCACAATAATTAGGAACCACAGCTTGCCCAAATCCCTTCACTCTATTGGGATATTCTCTTTTATTCTGGATGGCAAGGGCAGTGACTGTAACATTGAGCGCATTTTGCAGTATTAAACACGTATTTATACCGATTTCATTAGGCTCCGAAAATTCTTCAAAAAGAACAGAAAGAATGGCCTTCTCGGCTGCCATAGTTGCAACTCTTGCGTCATCAGAACAGGGTGTTCAACGCACCACCATTTCCGTTAAAAAACGTTTTGCACCGTTTTGTCAGGGCTGAACGCAGCCCTGGATTTTTCCACAGCAATGCAGTGTTGATGGTATCCATGGATATTTGAGAGCTCTATAGGGGAGTTCCAGCCTGTAATATCAAACGCTGTGTCAGACCGTATAGCATTCAGGCATACCTGAGTGTCAAAACACCAGAAGCACATTATTGGTGCACTTGTGTATTGGTATAATCTTTACACAACTGGTATTTTTGCAAATAATTCAATGTGTTTTATTTTACTCTCATTAAATATTTATTGAACTGTATTTATGTGTAAATTTCCCTCACAGAATGTAAACAAACACGGTACATAATTGAGATGTGGTGAAAATGACAATGTTGTAAAAATGGTAACTATATCTCAGAGAGTAGGGTATAAAGCCCTGCAACCAGATACAACACTCGTTAGCAACCAGCCACATATCTAAAGGACCTGTGAAACATTCAAAAATCAAGTTTTTAACAACGGTTTAAACTTTCAGGCCAGGCTTTGGAAGACCGAGGTTTACACATTTTTTTTTTTTTTAACTTACATACAGCGTTATAAAAAACTTTGCACTACAATGAAAACTGTGCGATATAGACTATAACCAGAGTAATCTTTATTTTGTTTGTTTAGTGGCGGAATTCTGGTTCAGTGGCAACTAGGGCTTATAGAAAAGATTTAGGAGGAGAAAAACAACGAGAAAAACTCAGACTGCGGAGTAATGAATCTCGCGTAATCATTAAACGGAGCAGGTGTTTAGCCTTTAAATTGCGCAATAATTTACTTAACGTGCGGGTGATTAAAACGGCATGGCGCGTTATATAAAGGCATTTTATACGTCTTTCCAGCACGTGCATACTAGAATGGCGTATGGGAAAATACGGGAGCGTCTGATCCTTATACTAAGTTCTTTCACATGCATTACTTTAGTGCAGTGCAGACATGTGCTACAATTGTCTGAAAATGAAAAAGCAAATGATGATGGTGAATTTATATCGGAACAACATATGTTTGACCACGACCGATATGAGTCTTTACCTGATTTTGAGTACCTAGGTGATGACGCCATTGTCTCAGGTAATGAGTGCTTGGTTTAATTTCAGTGTAGTTATATTTTTGTCAAGTCTAATACACGGGCATTGACAATTAAAGGGCAAGTCAGTTCTTCTGAAGCAGCCTGGTATGCCATGTCTCCAAGTTTGAGGTGTGGTGATGATCTTATGAAGTTGCAGCTCAGTGGTCCTGAAGTAGCACAAGTTGAGCTTTGTCGAGGTAAGCTGTCATTTCTTTGTTGATTGAATTTGACCACATAGTATCTTAGTTTGTTGTACTAGTCCTTTTATGACCCTACCTAGACCTTACATGCATCAATGTTGTAAGTGACTTTTTTTTTTTTTTGTTTGTTTGTTTTGTTACAGATAATGGGGCACCTGTTCCCCTCAATGAGTTGCCACTTCACTGTGGATACACCATACCAACTTATGGAGGTCTTATCTATGCTACCCCCTATGATGGATGTGGTGTTGCACAACAGGTATTGCTTTCTCTGTTCCACACTAATGAAAAAATGATTAATTGAAGTTACAAAAAATTAAGGTGAGTGGTTGCAATAAATTTATTTCAGATGCATTTAAACAAATTTTAGTTGATTAACGTTTCTGTTTTTTTTTTTTTGAGATTTACTGGAAAAATTGTTTGCAACTACTTCCCTTTTAAAAACTATATATATATATATATATATATTCATTCCAGTGCACTTATGAGCACAGAGTAAGGAAGACCAACCTGAATGTTCATGTTGTCTTTCAGGGCGGGAGTTATGTAATGCAGATGCAATTGCAGGGAAATGGTGCAGTCATTTCTTGTCCTATGACCTCTACAACTGCAAACGAAACCTTCCTAAGACCTCATTCTCCTTCATATCAGCAGATTCTGCTGTCTCCCCTTTATCCTGATAAATTTACTCCAATAACTATGCCAGAACTACCTACAGCACTCCACAAGATTCCACAAGAGTTTTGGCCTTACTACTACCCTCGTTACCATTATACTGGCAAGGGTTATCCCACAGCTGAGCCATCAGAGGAAACTTCTACAGATGACCAAGCACCACACCAGAAACCTCAATTTCCAAAGCACCCCCATATGATGTGGCCATATCCCTACTCTCATTCCCATTATCCTGGCAAGGGTTATCCCACAGCTGAACCAGCAGAAGAACCTTCTGCAGATGCCCAAGCACCAAACCAGAAACCTCAATTTCCAAAGCACCCCCATATGATGTGGCCATATCCCTACTCTCATTCCCATTATCCTGGCAAGGGTTATCCCACAGCTGAACCAGCAGAAGAACCTTCTGCAGATGCCCAAGCACCAAACCAGAAACCTCAATTTCCAAAGCACCCCCATATGATGTGGCCATATCCCTATTCCCATTATCCTGGCAAGGGTTATCCCACAGCTGAGCCAGCGGAGGAGTCCTCTACAGATGGCCAAGCACCAAACCAGAAGCCTCAATTTCCAAAGCACCCCCATATGATGTGGCCATATCCCTATTCCCATTATCCTGGCAAGGGTTATCCCACAGCTGAGCCAGCGGAGGAGTCCTCTACAGATGGCCAAGCACCAAACCAGAAGCCTCAATTTCCAAAGCACCCCCATATGATGTGGCCATATCCCTATTCCCATTATCCTGGCAAGGGTTATCCCACAGCTGAGCCAGCGGAGGAGTCCTCTACAGATGGCCAAGCACCAAACCAGAAGCCTCAATTTCCAAAGCACCCCCATATGATGTGGCCATATCCCTATTCCCATTATCCTGGCAAGGGTTATCCCACAGCTGAGCCAGCGGAGGAGTCCTCTACAGATGGCCAAGCACCAAACCAGAAGCCTCAATTTCCAAAGCACCCCCATATGATGTGGCCATATCCCTATTCCCATTATCCTGGCAAGGGTTATCCCACAGCTGAGCCAGCGGAGGAGTCCTCTACAGATGGCCAAGCACCAAACCAGAAGCCTCAATTTCCAAAGCACCCCCATATGATGTGGCCATATCCCTATTCCCATTATCCTGGCAAGGGTTATCCCACAGCTGAGCCAGCGGAGGAGTCCTCTACAGATGGCCAAGCACCAAACCAGAAGCCTCAATTTCCAAAGCACCCCCATATGATGTGGCCATATCCCTATTCCCATTATCCTGGCAAGGGTTATCCCACAGCTGAGCCAGCGGAGGAGTCCTCTACAGATGGCCAAGCACCAAACCAGAAGCCTCAATTTCCAAAGCACCCCCATATGATGTGGCCATATCCCTATTCCCATTATCCTGGCAAGGGTTATCCCACAGCTGAGCCAGCGGAGGAGTCCTCTACAGATGGCCAAGCACCAAACCAGAAGCCTCAATTTCCAAAGCACCCCCATATGATGTGGCCATATCCCTATTCCCATTATCCTGGCAAGGGTTATCCCACAGCTGAGCCAGCGGAGGAGTCCTCTACAGATGGCCAAGCACCAAACCAGAAGCCTCAATTTCCAAAGCACCCCCATATGATGTGGCCATATCCCTATTCCCATTATCCTGGCAAGGGTTATCCCACAGCTGAGCCAGCGGAGGAATCTTCTACAGATGTCCAAGCACCAAACCAGAACCCTCAATTCCCAAAGCAACCCCATATGATGTGGCCATATTCCCATTATCCTGGCAAGGGTCATCCCACAACTGAGCCAGCGGAGGAGTCCTCTACAGATGGCCAAGCACCAAACCAGAAGCCTTAATTTCCAAAGCACCCCCATATGATGTGGCCATATCCCTTCTCTCATTCCCATTATCCTGGAAAGGGTTATCCCACAGCCGAGCCAGCGGAGGAATCTTCTACAGATGTCCAAGCACCAAACCAGAACCCTCAATTTCCAAAGCACCCCCATATGATGTGGCCATATCCCTACTCTCATTCACAATATCCTGTCAAGGGTTATCCCACAGCTAAGCCAGCGGAGGAGTCCTCTACAGATGGCCAAGCACCAAACCAGAAGCCTCAATTTCCAAAGCACCCCCATATGATGTGGCCATATCCCTACTCTCATTCCCATTATCCTGGCAAGGGTTATCCCACAGCCGAGCCAGCGGAGGAATCTTCTACAGATGTCCAAGCACCAAACCAGAAGCCTCAATTTGCAAAGCACCCCCATATGATGTGGCCATATCCCTTCTCTCATTCCCATTATCCTGGAAAGCGTTATCCCACAGCTGAGCCAGCGGAGGAGTCCTCTACAGATGGCCAAGCACCAAACCAGAACCCTCAATTTCCAAAGCGCCCCCATATGATGTGGCCATATCCCTACTCTCATTCCCATTATCCTGGAAAGCGTTATCCCACAGCTGAGCCAGCGGAGGAGTCCTCTACAGATGGCCAAGCACCAAACCAGAACCCTCAATTTCCAAAGCGCCCCCATATGATGTGGCCATATCCCTACTCTCATTCCCATTATCCTGGAAAGCGTTATCCCACAGCTGAGCCAGCGGAGGAGTCCTCTACAGATGGCCAAGCACCAAACCAGAACCCTCAATTTCCAAAGCGCCCCCATATGATGTGGCCATATCCCTACTCTCATTCCCATTATCCTGGAAAGCGTTATCCCACAGCTGAGCCAGCGGAGGAGTCCTCTACAGATGGCCAAGCACCAAACCAGAACCCTCAATTTCCAAAGCGCCCCCATATGATGTGGCCATATCCCTACTCTCATTCCCATTATCCTGGAAAGCGTTATCCCACAGCTGAGCCAGCGGAGGAGTCCTCTACAGATGGCCAAGCACCAAACCAGAAGCCTCAATTTCCAAAGCACCCCCATGTGATGTGGCCATATCCCTACTCCCTTCCCCATTATCCTGGCAAGGGTTATCCCACAGCCGAGCCAGCGGAGGAATCTTCTACAGATGTCCAAGCACCAAACCAGAAGCCTCAATTTGCAAAGCACCCCCATATGATGTGGCCATATCCCTTCTCTCATTCCCATTATCCTGGTAAGGGATATCCCACAGTTGAGCCAGCGGAGGAGTCTTCTACAGATGTCCAAGCACCAAACCAGAACCCTCAATTTCCAAAACAGCCCCATATGATGTGGCCATATTACTACCCCGATTATCATGGCAAACCAACTCCCACTTTGAAACCAGCTCCAGCCATGGCCGCTTCTGCCCCACCAGATTCACCCTCAATAACCCAGAAACCGCAACCCCTAGTGTACCCTGGAAGTCTATTCCCTCAGCATAGCCATTACCCTCTTTATTTGCAACAGTTTTATCCACAATACCCAGTGCAGCCTCCGAAAACCCCTACCGCATCACCTATAACCACCACTCCTCAACCCTGTACTACAACTGCAGCTGCGGAATGCAAACCTTCTGCCAACCAGCCTCCCAAAGAGCCACCCCGATATTATAAACCACCCAATTATACGAGTTATGAAAAAGACCCCTTCGCTCTTAAATTTGTGTATTTTTCCGAATTGGATCCCAAGTCTTTCCCATGAAATTAATGAGGACTGAGGATAGCTATTTAGAATTAGGTTGGTAATGTGCTGCATGTGACTTTGAGAAAGATTGCCTCCTGATTTAATGCTAATATGTTGTGTATGGGGTGACTGCAAAAAGTGACTCCTGCTCATTCATTTTGTCCTTTGTTCTCTCAAACGATTCAATAAATCAAATGTGGTCAAATGTCCTTTTTTCTTTTCTTTTCCTTAATCTAAAGTATTTGATTTAGGACAGTTATGTATTTGAAATGTAAGGTGCCTGCTATTGGAGACAAAAAAAAAACACAGTGGGGGTGTGGTGTGGTGTGATGTAAGTTTTGAACATTTAGT